GGGGGGCGGCGAGGGGGGGGTGGGGGGGCTCAGAGAAGGAGGTTGGGTATGTGGGGAACTTAGGACAAGGGGAGGGGTGCAGGATTTAGGGCAGGGGGTTGGGCGTGGGGGGGAAAGTTTACGAGTGCCACCCATGGCAACAAATGTGTCACTTCTCCAGTGGTGGTTCCACCCAGGGGACCAGGGTCTGCAGCTGGTCTGAGGGGGCTGTCCTCCACCCATTCCAGAGAGGGGGTCTGTGCCCAAGGGGATTGGGACTGGGGGAGCTGGGGTTGGCGTGTGTGGGTGGGAGGAGCAGACGATTTGCCCCCCACACTATTTTGAAGCAGGAGGGTCCTCTTACTTGCTCCATTGCTGAGCACGATCTCTTATGGGCCAGTGTATTGCTGGTATTGCTGCCCCCAGTGGTCACTCTGCAGTATCACTGGCCTTGTACTTGCTCCCCCAGTGGTGACGGTGAGTATTGCATCCCTCCTCTCTCTGTCCCCTCCCTTTCCATGTTCTGGAAACCAGTCCCGTTCCTGGCACTTTCCATTTTCCAGGCACAACCAAACCCCGGCCTTGCTTTAGGGGTAAGAGGAAGAAGCGTGACAAATGTAGTGGCCCTAGTGCTTACTGTTTAGGAGAAGGTCCTGAACATACAGACTCACAGAGAGACACACTCTAAAACAATGTTTCTTAAACTGTGTTCCGTGGCACAACAGTGAGCCGCGAGGCAGTCGGAGGTGTGCTGCGGAGAACAACAAAGTTCAAAATGGGGAAGGCGACCTTTTTTCCCCCCTCAATAACTTTCCCCCTGACCTTTTTTTTTTTTTTTGGTCAATAACTTTTCCCTGGCCCCTCCTTCCCCCCCCCATTTTTTTCTCTCAACAAAAAATCCTTGGTGTTCTTCATAAAAAAAAAATTGGCGTTCTTCAGTCTTAAAAAGTTTAAGAAAAACTGCTTTAAAATATGTATATCATAGAATCATAGGACTGGAAGGGACCTCCAGAGGTCATCGAGTCCAGCCCCCCACCCTAAAGGCAGGACCAAGCTCCGTCTACACCATCCCTGACAGATGTCTATCTAACCTGTTCTTAAATATCTCCAGAGAGGGAGATTTCACCACCTCCCTTGGCAATTTATTCCAATATTTGACCACCCTGACAGTTAGGAATTTTTTCCTAATGTCCAATCTAACCCTCCCCTGCTGCACTTTAAGCCCATTACTCCTTGTCCTGTCCTCAGTAACCAAGAGGAACAAATTTTCTCCTTCCTCCTTGTGACACCCTTTTAGATATTTGAAAACCGCTATCATGCCCCCCCTTAATCTTCTTTTTTCCAAACTAAACAAGCCCAGTTCATGAAGCCTGGCTTCATAGGTCATGTTCTCTAAACCTTTAATCATTCTTGTCGCTCTTCTCTGTACCCTTTCCAATTTCTCCACATCTTTCTTGAAATGTGGCGCCCAGAACTGGACACAGTACTCCAGCTGAGGCCTAACTAGTGCAGAGTAGAGCGGCAGAATGACTTCACGAGTTTTGCTTACAACACACCTGTTGATACAACCTAGAATCATATTTGCTTTTTTTGCAACAGCATCACACTGTTGACTCATATTCAACGTGTGGTCCACTATGACCCCTAGATCCCTTTCCGCCATGCTCCTTCCTAGACAGTCGCTTCCCATCTTGTATGGATGGAACTGATTGTTCCTTCCTAAGTGGAGCACTTTGCATTTCTCTTTATTAAACCTCATCCTGTTTACCTCTGACCATTTCTCTAACTTGCTAAAGTCATTTTGAATTATGTCCCTACCCTCCAAAGAAGTTGCAACCCCACCCAGTTTGGTATCATCTGCAAACTTAATAAGCGTACTCTCTATCCCAATATCTACATCATTGATGAAGATATTGAACAGTACGGGTCCCAAAACAGACCCTTGTGGAACTCCACTTGCTATCCCTTTCCAGCAGGATTTAGAACCGTTAACAACAACTCTCTCACTACGGTTATCCAGCCAATTATGCACCCACCTTATCGTGGCCCCATCTAAGTTATATTTGCCTAGTTTATCAATAAGAATATAGGTGATGATGATTGATTAAAATGATGGGTGTCATATACTCTGGTGTGCTCATAACTAGGAGTGACCATCCCAGGGCAAACTGTCAGAAAATGGGAAGGCACAACGAATTCCTGGTGTGGATCATAATTAGATTTCACTGAGCGATTAACTGTCATGACCTTCTGCTGTACTCATGATAGAATTACAGACAGTCCCTTTAGACTCTCCAGTTTATTGCGCCACCCAGCCAAATTGGACTTTGTAACAAAACAGTCACTCACTCCAAAATCACAAATATTCCAGGTTGCTCATAGTCCCCAGAAACCAATCAAATTGCCGTCGTTCAACTGATGCCCTAGATACGACCCCAAAGTTCACGGTCTTAGCCAATTTTGCAGTCAACTAACTGAGGGTTTATTAGCTAAGGAAAGGGAATGAGACTTATTGAAAAGTTAAAGCAGGTAAAATATATGTACTGGTGAGTCACAGTCTATCATTCCAAATGGTAGCAGAGATGTAGTAACCTGCTAGTTCCTCAAAAGTCTCTCAGGGCTACCCAAAATATCTCTGGGGCTCTCCATCTCCTCATTCAGTCATTTCACCCTGTGAAAACCCAAAGAGTCCAGAAACGAGGGACCTTTCCTTGACTCCCTACTTGTTGCTTCTTCACAGAAAACAAGATGAGAGTGTCACATGCCACATGGGCTCTGGCATTGAGCATGGAGAGTGAGCAATGTGTTTTAAGTTTTTTACCTCCAATCGTCACACACAAAACTTCCTACCTGTCAGAGTGCTGAAGCACTGGAATAAATTGCCTAGGGAGGTTGTGGAATCTCCATCTCTGGAGATACTTAAGAGCAGGTTACATAGACATCTATCAGGGATAATCTATATGGTGCTTGGTCCTGCCGTGAGGGCAGGGGACTGGACTCGATGACCTCTCAAGGTCCCTTCCAGTTCTAGTGTTCTATGAATCTATGATTCTATGCTTTGAAATTAGCACTTTTCACTTAAGATTCTTCAGTCGTTGGGCCAAGAAACAATGGGCTTAAACTGCAGCAAGGGAGGTTTAGGTTGGACATTAGGAAAAACTTCCTACCTGTCAGGGTGGTTAAACACGGGAATAAATTGCCCAGGGAGGTTGTGGAATCTCCATCTCTGGAGATCTTTAAGAGCAGGTGGGACAGACACCTGTCAGGGATGGTCTCGATGGTGCTTGGGCCTGCTGCGAGGGCAGGGGACTGAACTCAATGACCTCTCGAGGTCCCTTCCCATTCTAGTGTTCTGTGATTCTATTATTTGTATTCCACAACACTTCTTTCTCAGGCGATGGGTTATC